CAGGTTATTTGCTGGGCAGGGAGCTGGGCAGAGGAGCAGGTGGGAGCTTGTGCCCTGGGGCAGAAATCACCTTGCTCGGTAAAGGTGGGGGCGGGGGGGGGCAGCTAATTATCACACACATACCCCAAGCATCTTTCCCGCCATGTAGCACTTTTACATAGGTGCTTTAATAAAGGTTAAAACCATAAGCCTTAGTAACAAACAGTTTTAAAAAGTTTTTCCCTATGCTTTTGGTGAGGACAATTTGAAGCTGCAGCAAAAGCAACTTTGTTAGCCAGTGAATAAGAGATAAAGAAGGCTGCTAAATGTCCGGAATATAGAGATAAGAAGTTTGTTTTTTTTCAAGCTTTTGAACAAAAGCAAGTAAAAGTTATATTAAATTTTAAATTAAATAAATACATTAATGGAGATATCCCATCTCCTAGAACTGGAAGGGACCTTGAAAGGTCATTGAGTCCAGCCCCCTGCCTTCACTAGCAGGACCAAGTACTGATTTTACCCCAGATCCCCAAGTGGCCCCCTCAAGGATTGAACTCACAACCCTGGGTTTAGCAGGCCAATGCTCAAACCACTGAGCTATTCCTCCCCCCTCCCTGTATTTTGTAAAGGAATAAAGCTCTATTTTATAATCACTTGAAAAGACAAGCCTATTTGAAGAAACACCCCTTTATTTATAGGTTTTTTAATAAAAAATGAGCATGCAGAAATACCCTAGGGTTAAAACCACAGACAATCAGTTTATCAAAGTAATTTCTAGTAATAAAAAAAAGCTTTCCCCTATGCTTTTGCTAACATTGGTTATTTTTTAGTGAGGACAATTGGACGCAGCCTTTCTAAGTTAGTGGATTAGAAAAGAAGAAGACCACTTTGAAAGACAAGCCTATCTGAAGAAACATCCCTCCATTTAACACTTTTACATGTGTGTTTCAATAAAAAATTGGCATGCAGAAACCATCCCTGGGTTAAAACCACGGACAAACTGTTTATAAAAGTAATTTATAGTGATAAAAAAGTGTCCCCCCTATGTTTTAGACTAACATTGCTCATTTTTTTTGTGAGGACAATTTGAAGCAGCGTGCTTTTATAGCAAAGCCACTGTTAGCAAAAACAGCGTCTGTGAGGCAGTGGATCAGAGATAAGATGACTGCTTCCTCCCCCACTTTATAACAAATACAATTGAAAGTTATATTAAGTTTTGTAAGGGAATAAACATTTTAAAAGACAAGCCTATATGAAGACCCATCCCTTTATTTAACGTTTTTACATGTGTGTTTCAATAAAAAAAAAATGAGCACGCAGAAACACCCCAGAGTGAAAACCACAAACCTTAGTAACAGCTAGTTTATATTCCCTTTATTCTGTAATCCAGTGGATCAGAGAGAAGTTTGTTTTCCTCCCCACTTTTTAACAAATCCACGTGAAAGTTATATTAAGCTTTCATTTTCTTAGGACTTTTAGATTTAAGTATGAATTTTTCTGTTGCATTATCAGAATGTCTTTGTTTTTAAATGTTTGCAACCCATGTGCTGAGACACGGGTACAAGCTCCTGTATTTGTTTTGTGTCCATAGATTTTATTAAAATAATACAGCACAGGCTGGAGCTGTGGCTTTCTCTACATTTTAAAAACAGATCAGACGAATTAGGGTAGCCAGTGATCCATGCACTATAGTCTGCCTGAGCAAGGCGCTAGGGGTCACTCCTTCAGTTTGCTTGTTTTCTTATACAGATTTCTTTCCTAACTTTTTAAACACTGTTAAAGTTTTAACAAATGGTTAGATTGCATTGAAAGACACTTTGTGAAAGTTATAACCAGTATTTTATTCCATTTACAGATTGTAAAAGACAAAAACCATTGCTCTGTGACTGCATGAAGCTCAGAAATAGCCTATCCGAAGAACACCCCACTCCTCGATTTCCCCCCCCATATTTTTAACACTTGCTAAACATGCAGTGTTTCATTATATAAAGGTTTTTTAACATTTAACATGAAAATACAGCATTGACTAAGATGTAACATAACATGACCTTTTTTAAGGATATTCTGTATGAAGGGAGGCCTATTCAAAACATTATGTTTGTTTTTTTAAAGTTTAACATGAGAAAGCAGTATTGACTGAGCTGTAACAAAACAAGGCCCCTCTTAGGGATATTTTGTAGAAGTTTAGTGAACTAAAAAGGCTTAAGATACTAGCCTATCCTTTCAAAGATAGTGTTTTAAAGTACCAAAACAGCAACTGGGAAAGAATACGAAAACTGGCAATTGAGGGGAGTTTACATATGTGCTTTAATAAAAAAACAAAACTAACAAAAATATACAAGATTGCTTTTTCAAGTTTTGATTTATACAAAAAAAACAAGAAAAAATAGCTTATGTAAAAAAGTTAGGTGTTTTTACCAGAGATAAGGAGTCTGCCCCCCCTCCTACTCACCCCCCCCCCCCAACCCCACTTTCTTCTTTTTTTATGTTTTTTAGAATCTAAACTGAGGACAAACAAATTAAAAAAAAAATCCACAGTCACAGAGATCAGGCCATGGGGGTAAGAAAGCTGTCCTGAGTTTTAGGGAGAATGTTGATAACTCTTTTAGTGAAACAGTTTTGAAGGCAGCCATTGTATGTTAGTTGTTATGCTTTAGCAAGGGGAAATGTTTGTCATTCAGAGACACTTTCCCACTTTATGAGGGTTCTGGGGCTGCTTTGCAATGGTCCAGAGCCAGAATGGTACCCAGAAGTCATTTACTACAAGACAGGCCCAACAAAGAAAGTAACAGAACACCACTAGCCATCACCTACAGCCCCCAACTAAAACCTCTCCAGCGCATCATCAAAGATCTACAACCTATCCTGAAGGATGATCCCTCACTCTCACAGACCTTGGGAAGACAGGCCAGTCCTCGCTTACAGACAGCCCCCCAACCTGAAGCAAATACTCACCAGCAACTACACACCACACAACAAAAACACCAACCCAGGAACCAAACCCTGCAACAAACCCCGGTGCCAAATCTGTCTGCATATCTATTCAAGGGATGCCATCATAGGACCTAACCACATCAGCCACACCATCAGGGGCTCATTTACCTGCACATTTACCAATATGATATATGCCATCATGTGCCAGCAATGCCCCTCTGCCATGTACATTGGCCAAACCGGACAGTCTCTACACAAAAGAATAAATGGACACAAATCTGATATCAGGAATTATAACATTCAAAAACCAGTAGGAGAACTCTTCAGTCTCCCTGGTCACTCAATAACAGACCTAAAAGTGGCAATTATCTTCAACAACAAAAACTTCAAAAACAGACTCCAACATGAAACTGCAGAACTGGAATTAATTTGCAAACTGGACACCATCAAATTAGGCCTAAATAAAGACTGGGAGTGGATGGGTCATTATAAAACCTAATTTCCCCCATACTAATTTCCCCCTACTGTTACTCACACCTTCTTGTCAACTGTTTGAAATGGGCCACTCTCATTACCACTACAAAAGTGATTTTTCCTCCCTTGGTTTCCTACTGTTAATTGAATTGTCTCATTAGACTGATCGCCCATTTGGTAAGGCAGCTCCCATCTTTTCATGTGCTGTGTATTTATACCTGCTACTATATTTTCCACTCCATGTATCTGATGAAGTGGGTTCTAGCCCACGAAAGCTTATGCCCAAATAAATTTGTTAGTCTCTAAGGTGCCACAAGGACTCCTTGTTGTTTTTGCTGATACAGACTAACATGGCTACTACTCTGAAACCTAAATTCACAGCCTATCTTTCCTTAGGTGTACAGCTATGGAAAGAAAGCTGCATTAGCAAACATGTGTAATAAGCACTTTCTGAAAGCGCATCCAAACAGCAGCAGTCTAAATATACAGTATGATTTAAAACTGTTTGAAATTTTTCAACTTTTGATTTTACAATGACGTTTTTCATCAAAAACAAATTTTGATTAATACAGTAAAATATCTTGAAAAGGGTTTGCAAATTGTGCTTATTTGATTGAATAACAAGCCTTGTGGATGGGGGGAAGTGGTAGATGTGGTATATCTTGACTTTAGCAAGGCTTTTGATACTGTCTCACATGGCCTCAGAAACAAACTAGGGAAATACAACTTAGATGGAGCTACTATAAGGTGGGTGCATAACTGGTTGGAAAACCATTCCCA